CAGCAGATTCTGAAGGGGCCCTGAATGCCAGCTTCAGCCTCTGCTGACTCTGGTCCAGAGCAACCCCGGCTGCACGAGAACTGCCGGAAGTCGCAAGCACTGGTGCCACCGAGTTGAGCTTCCAGCCTTACTCTCACAGCAAATCCTAAACATCCTGAAACCTTGGATCCTGCCCCCCACGCCCCAGATACTCCCGGAGCAGGTCTTCCTGGTGAGCGTTTTACCAGGAGAGAAGTCCAGCCGGCAGGACTGCCAACCTCTGACCCACAGCGGATCCTCAAATGCCCCTTAATCTCAGTTCTGGCTACAAATCGAGAGGCATTTTTCCCACCCGGGAACCCTCGGGAGGCACGTCTGCCGGTGCCACTGCAGACTGACTCAGTGACCTCAGTCTGATCGTGGGTCTCAAAACTGCCCTAGAAATTGGCTGCAGCCAGCCCCTCTCAAGCGTGGTCTCAGAGCAGGCATGCCCACCCTGGCACCTGCCCGGAGACAGCACCTGTGTGTGGCCCCAGAGAGAGACCTGAAGATCTTAGTGTCAGCTGTAGACCCCAAACCACATCCTCGACTCCAATCCAGCCGCACTCAGATCTCAAACACGGCAGCATGGCCTCCACCGGGACCCCCTCCCCCCCAGTGATTCAACGGCCCCCCAAAGGCCTGAGGGAAGCCACACCCACGGTACACCTGGCAATAGAGAACTATCTGAAGACACTGAAGCATATCCTCATCCTGGCACCAGCTCCACAGACAAAGTTCCTGGAAACAGTCCCGTCCACCAGGGACTGGGCAAGATCTATGCCCACTAGAGCCCCTGATGCCAGGAATCTGACTGGAACAATCGCCAGCAAGGCTGGATTGTTTGTTTCTGTTCCTAGCAGTCATGTCTCAACCCAGGGCCTGGGCTGCCTCCAGGCAGGACTCGAACTCCCACCAGACTGATCAGCCGGGGCCTCTGTGCTTTAATCTCCAAGCCTCCTAATTCTGCCCCGAGAAATGGTGCATGATACTCTACAGGAGCTCGAGAGATGATCAGGGGCAAGGCCTGTCCTGGCCATGCTCACTTGGCACCTGAACTCACTTTCAGCTCCACCTGGTGTGCAAACCGTGGGGCTCTGGGTCCCCTTTGGTCACCCCTGACTTGCCCCCTTACTCCACACGGGAGGAGCTGAGACTTCAGGATCCAGTGCCTCGGCCGTGTCATCCCCAGATGATCGCTCCGCAGCCAGCTCCCTCCCCGCCCCATGATTTGGTCCCCTGCCCAGGCTGCGACGAAGCAGCCCTGCCTGCAGGGATTGGCTGGCCCAGCCCCGCCCTGCCTCCCTCAACCTTTCCTTCATCAGGGTCCAGGGCAAAGACCGCCCAGCAGGGCGAAGAGGAGATTGTGTGGACAAGCTGCTCCTGAGAGAAGGTGCCAGGCTGGGGGTGGTGGCCCTGGAGGGTCCCAGCCTGGGATG